TGAACCATTATTAAACTTAAAGTTTTACTTTTATTCGAGTATTGGATCACAGAATTTTGAAATGATGGGCCATTGGATTCTGCGCCAGTGTTTGCCTGATCAACGAGCTCACCTCTCAACGTGACTGTCCTATTTCTGTTACAGTCACTGACGCCTACTGATGAAGACCACCAAATAAGAACGAAATTGCTGTCCAGTATTCCCTGGTTTTTAATGGTTCTGTTACTTGAGTCATTTAGTGATCCGTGTTAATATTCAGTACTTTGATCAGATTTTAGCTGGGTTAAAGTAATTTGGAATAATCCAACTTCAACAGAATACTTTTTCCTTGGATTTCAGTACCAAGTGATTCTTCAAAAATATTCAGTAGTCTTGAACTGTATATATTTACAGATAGGCGTCAGTAATTTATAATTCAGTGGTTCTATTGAAAAATGCTTGGCAACCAGGCACGTGGTATGGGTTCGATTCCCAGTCGGTGCACTTCTTAACTTCCCCTAGTTTACTAGTTGATTGTAGGCCTGGAAGAGAGGGAAGAATATGCAGGAGGCCACCCCTCCCCGTCTATATACACAACACCATTGCTAGTGAAACTTCAAGGGTTTGTAGCTTCCCACTAAGAACGCAATGGATAAAATAATGTAGTAAATGTTTAATATCAGTGATCCCCACCCAGACAGTTTCAGTATAATTTGTAGTTCTACTAAGCCTGAATGATTTAGGTAAATGTCGAAAGATTTCCGACTGAAATATGGACTTGCGTTGTACTACTGCTGACACATAAGGACATTAGGATTACTTCAGAAGGGTGGCAGCGAGGTTTATTGAATCCAAAAATACTCTCTTTATATTAAATGTGGATATGTAAAGAGCTTGGAGTTTACATTTCATTTCAATAATTGGTTGTAACAATTATGTATCCTTAATAAACTCTAAAAATAACAATGTTACTTGAAGGGTTTCAAAATTTTCAAAGTACCTCTGTGTTGTGCTAATTCGAACAGCACACGACCTGGTAAACTAGATACATGTTATGCTCCCCATGATTGATACACTCTTAAATCTTTAATTGGTGGATGGTGACTAGCAGTGGAATCCAGGGCAACGCCCACTTCGTCCTATTTGGGACTCGTCATCTGGACGTATCTACATCGTCGAAGCATTTGCTCAAGAACTCGACATGTCAACCTGAGATCGAGCACTTCGGTCCAATCAGTCGACGGGATAATCTAAAATTCTATTAAACGCTCTTAAATCATTGGGAAAAATATAATTTTTTTACTGAATTTTAGGCACAGTCTGCTGATGACTATCACCAGGTACAACACCTAAATTCAATCGTTCCTGTCGGCTGGATCTTCTAACTATCTAATGTTAGATCAAAGTCCCCCAAATACGACAAAGATTTTGCTTCAGTTAGCTTATTACTATCACTGTTTCCTTTAGTTGCTAGAGGAACACATAGGGCTTCAGCCGCACGTCGTTATTCCGTTTGGTCCCTTGCCAACGTTTTCACCTGGCTCCACGTCTGCTCTTCACATGACCACCTCTTCTATGTCACCCTTGGACGACCTCAGTTAGCTTAATGAATACGATACACACTTGACGAATAGATTTTGATCTAAACAATCAAGACTAAATAATCACACTGTGATTTCCAGTGAATGATCAGTTCGTGATCAAATCAGGCTCATTTATATTACGGACACCAACCGTATTGGGACTAGAGTTTCACGATTCAAAAGGCATTAATTAAATTTATTGTAAGAAATTCGAGCGTTTATGTCATATCACTTTTGAAATTGTTTCAAACAACTTTTAAGAAATTCAATTATCTATATTATTGTGTAGGATGTAGACTTTTTACATAAGGTTTTGTGAGGACTAGGAAAAAAAGAAACTGTGAAAACAACGTGAAATATCATTTTCCACAGATATGAGACATAATTATAGTTCAAAATCCATTGCACTTACTATATGTAGTAAGTAGTGTTGTTCAACATTCAAGATACATTTTTTTTCTCTCTCTCTCTCTCTCATGTGTGTTTTGATAACAAATGAAAATTGTTTAAATAGCTTGTAAGTGAACAATTTAATACTTTGGTATTTGTTCAAACACAGTGTATCTGTTGGAAACTGAAGGAGCCTTATTTCTATGCGTGTTTGCGTGTGTGTGTGTGCGTACGTGTGATCCATTTCATATGAAGTCAATATAGACGAACTCTTTCTATAGACATTAGATTTATGAATTAAATGAAATAAACAAGGCACTTACAATGAATAACAGCCGGTTTACTATATTACATCTGCGTAGAAGTTGTATAAAAAGGCTTTAGTGTCAACTTGTTAGAACGTAATGAAATTTCATTCTATGGGTGCTTCTTTTTAAAAAAAATTATGTGAGCATAAATAACATTTATCTGTCTATCGTGTTAGGCTAAATGAACGAATTGTTGTTATTAGAGGGTTGTGGAGGCAGTCAGCCACAGGAAGCCTTCTAACTTGGTTGTGTGATTATTAGCACTCACCAGTTAGCAAGGCGTATCTGCAATCTTAAAGGAACTTATACCCCTTCTGAGATTCGAACCCGTGTCACCCAGACGTTACCACTGATGAGACAACATATTGTGTCCTGCGATTTGTTTAGTAATTTAATAATTCCCATTGTAGCATTAAGAACACAATATTCAGCGAAGAGACTCTTTAAACAACGAATTTATTATCAAGCTGTACAATCGTATATATATATATATATATGGTTTTATAAAGAAATTGTATCCGGTGAGGTCAAAGGTGTGAATATATGAAATAATAACAGTAGTATGGAATGCAATAATCATAGTTGAATATCAAGTAGCAAAATAATTAATGTCATATATAGAATAATACATAGGGTGTATAGATTTTGGAAAGGGGTGCATAATTATAAGATTAGTTGGCGAATATAAAACGTCGTTACATAACATGGTGTGAAATTTGATAAGATAGAATTCAACATTTTAAAAATAAAAAAAATAAAAATTTATAATTTTAGGTTTAAAATGACTAGTGGGTCAAGTGGAAAATATTCAGAGTGAGAATAGTAATAATAATTATGATAATAATAATAAAAATAATCGTAGTAATCAGGGAAAGGTACATAGAATAACTAAATAAACAAAAGAGATAAATGTTTATCCCTCTCCGGCCAAGGTAGAAGCAGGGATTGTACATGCTTCTTTTGTACACAAAGGTCTGGCTTAAAGTCATGAATTTCCAAGGCCTTAGCTGTCTTTAGAAGTCTGTAACTAAGAAAAAACACGGCAAGTTAGCATGATCTTAAAATCATGGTCACGGTTGACAGATTGACAGAAGTCGATCAGGTGTTCCAGAATAGAGCTTCGCACACACTTCCTTTCTCCCTTGTAAAACCATGCAGCTGGAATATGTTCTCGTATCTGTGTGGAAAGCGTCCTCTTGCTATGGCCAGTATTTCTTGCTCCACAAAGGCAGGTGAACTGATAAATGCACATGGAGATGGCCAGACTGGAGAGCTTATCTTATACAGAGATGAAGAACAAACTGTGGCTGGTGAACGTCATTTGTAATTTTGCTGTAAAGAACGTCTTACAGACTGCTCTAGAGAGACAGCTTTTGAGCACATCTGAAGCTTGGTCACCTTTGAATTCAAAGTTCATGAATAAAGTTTTCTTTGGAACTGAGTCAGTTATTAGTTCACACTGCTTATCCTTCATGTTCCTGTCGATAAATCGGTTCAGGTAACCGTTTTCTGCGAGCGTGGCTTTTAAGAAGTCAAGTTCTGCGTCAAAGCAATCAGAACTACAAATGTTTCCTATCCTAAGGTAGAATGAATGAATTAGTTTCCTTTTTCCTGGAGATAGGCACCCAATTACAAAAATTAGTTAGTTGTCCGTTACATGTATGTTTCCGATGGATGGATCTTTTGAGAGATCCGTCATTACATCTACTAAGGCATATATCAAGAAACTGAATACTTAGTTCAGATACCTTTTCAACGGTGAATTGTAAAGAAGAATGGCAGTTGTTGAAAGCAAACAAGACATCATCAAGAATTACGTTATTATCGCAAATAACAAAAGTGTCGTCTACATATCTTTTATAAATGTAGAAATGATCGATAGTTTGACTAAGTTGAGAATTTTCAAGCTTTCCCACAAAGCAATCAGCCGGCAGGGGACCCAGTGGTGACCTCATGGCAATGCCATCTCTCCATCTAAAAATCTCATTATTGTAGGTGAACTGAGCATCCAAAGGGCATCTCAATAAAAGTCCTTTGAGGTAGATTGTTGTCAACCCTAGCAATGAATTTTCTGAGTTCCGTATTTGTAACTCGAAAGAATCGTAAAATTTGTGTTGAGTAAAACTTTCTCCAAATGTAAGCCTATCATTTAGAAAAATCGTAACAGTAAAAGGCAAGAGACTTGGTATTTGTAATTTGGTATGTCTATATAGCGAAATCATTTACATCTTATCTCCAAATCGTCATTATTTGCACAGATCTTCCGTGTTGTGATACTTCTGCTCTTTGTATTGTGCTTCTTTGTCATCTTTTCGCCTCTCCCATATTTGCCGTAGCGCTGGTTCATTTTGTAGTCAAATCTATCTTTCCACTGGTCGATATTTTTTATATCGATGAATGTCTCTTTATATTCTACTGATAAACCTTATTAGTAGCACATGCCATACAGTTAGTTGCATCTATTGATAAAATTATCAGTGATGACATGTGAAATTTATAATATATACACATGCATAGAGTATACTTATTTTTAAACCTAAGAAATATATCCTCAACTGAACATGCCCGTTTCGAACAAAGAAAACAGAAAAAGAATGGTGAGTGCAGAGAAGAAAATAATTCCTTTAGACGATATCATTCTGCTAAAATGTGTATAATTGTATGTTGCATCAACATAAGCCATATTGAATGTCGAAACAGCCTTTATCTATTTCCGTTTGATTTCATTTTCAATTATTAGACAAATTACAGTTCTTATTCAGTTGACGATCGATCCATCAATCATCAATCAAACTCGACTAAATTGAACTCATCATTATCATCGTTTCTACCTATTTTACAAACAAATGGAAAGTCGATTAAAGTTGATTCACCAGTTTCTTCATCTTCATCCAGTTGTTCTCCTAGAAAACAGGCACCTGAACAATCAACTTCTGGAGTGGAAAGGTAATTCTTAAATTTTATCGTTATTTCATGTTATTTTAACTATAGCTTTATTGAACATTATTAATTGTCTCTGAATAAATCAGAAGCATAGATTTGTGCAGAACTAGATGCTATCACCATTTAATTTCGTCAACTTCTAATCAGTTGCGTAGGGAATAAAGAAATTAATTAAATTTTTGTACTGGACAGCTATTTCGTACCAGTGGTTCTGGATTCTCCAGAAGTACGCATCCACCGACAAGGTTCGAATCTAGAACATTCTGGTTACAAGGCCAGTGAGCTAGCAGAGCATCAAGCCACTAGGACCTGCAGATCCAATGACCAGCGAATGTATTCCAACTTCTGCCAGTTCACGACATAACGCGACCTCTAGCCAATGTCATCCGTGGTGAGTATTTGTCTTCACACTCGACCTGCTGTACCCTACTGGTTACGGCTTCCCACTAGAACCCCTGGTAACAACCTACATGAATAGGATCAGTCGCTAGTGAGCATCAGATTAATATTCAAATAGTGGTTTGTAGGGATTTTACTGATTGGCTACAGGATTTCATCATGGAATGACATCAGTTATAGAACAATTGGAAAACCTGCAGGGAGTGCTTGACAGCTGTTTCGTCCCGTTTTGAGACTCTTCAACAGAACGCATCCACAGGGATTCGAGCAGAAGGCCTTCTGGTTACAAGGTGAGCTCAAAACCAGTAGAGTATAGCAGGTCGAGTGTGAGGACAAATACGCGCCACGGATGACATTCACTAGTGGTGGGGCTGTCATGAATTGGCAGAAGTTAGAATTCATGCAAGTCCCAGTAGCTTAATGATCTACGAGCTCACTGGTCTAGTAAACAGAAGTTCCTGAGTTCGAATTCTGGAGGTGGGTGCGTACTGATGAAGAGTCCGAAACCAGTGGGACGAAACAGCTGTCCAGCACTCCAGTGCTGATTTTCCGGTGGTTCTTTGATAGATGTCAGCTCATGATGGAATCCTGTAGTTAATCAATCAAATCTCTGCAAACCAGTACATGAATGTGAAAACATAGGTTTGTGCAGAATGAAAACGTACCATCATTTATTTCGTCGGTTTCTCATAAACTGGATGAAACCTAAAGAAATTAATTAAATTTATGCACATAACAATTTTAACATATTTGTAAATATGACATGATGTCAGTTAACAGGAGTCCCCAAAATTAATAAAAAGTGCTAAGAAATCCCACTTATCTAGTACATAAAGAAGTTGGACTAAAATTAAGTACAGTGACAAAGGAATTACGTAGTAAAGACAATATATGAATACGATGATGAGGAACTAATGAGTAGCAATATGGTGAGTTCAATTCAAATCGTAAAAATAACAGACAAGTGAAGTTACATTATAGTAAAGGGAAAAAGGTTTAATTAGAAGGTTACGTAATCAAACGGAAGACATAGTAAAGATATCTAGTAACCACAGCAAAAGAAGACTGGTCAATGCTTCTTTCTGAATACATAAATCGGGTTCCAGGTGTCTGATTGTGACTGCTTCAGAAAACTTGAAGAAAATTCAACTACGCTGTCTGTTGATAACTTTGAAGGATTATAGGATGTCCACCTCTGATCTTTGACGTCGGATGTCCGGCGATAGCACTGTTGAAAGCGCTTGTTCCTTTGAGACGTGGACTTTTTGGTACATTTTCAAAAAATCAAGGGTATTTCCTTCAGTCTGAGGGAGAATTTACTTTGGGATAACAGAAAGAAGGGTACAACTTCGACTTTTTTTTGGTCGCTCAGAATATCCTTATTAGAAAGTATTACATATAATATATGCATGTAATACTTCTATTCTCAGTAAGCGCCTATTTTATTTTGTTATTAGTTTGCATGAAATTTAGGAAAATAGCTTTTAAATAAGGCACATCTTCAAGTTAAAGTTCTACAATGTGAAGGTAACCACAATGTTAATAACCACATTATCGTTAACAGACTGATGCAATGGTAGAAAATTGATGTCTGTTATAGTTTTGGAACCAGTTTAGGTGACAGTCAATTTTGAAGTCTATACTTGGCTCTGTTACAAATAAGGACGCTTAGATTAATTTATCTGATAGAGAGGAAAGAATTAGCGTGATTCTGAAACAGACTGAAATCTTTTAGAAATAAAACATATTACACGACTTGTATGCACAAAACAATTCGTAATTTACAAGTATTGATTTGTAAGGATTTTGTCTGATTGGCTACAAGATTTCATCATTAGCTGACATCCATCAAAGAACCATTGGAAAACCTACAGGGAGTACTGGACAGCTGTTTCCTCTCACTGGTTTGCGACTCTTCATCAGTACTCATCCACCACAAGGGTTCGAACCCATCACCTTCTGGTTACAATGCCAGTGAGCTCGTAGATCATTAAGCTACTAGGACCCGCTGATCCATTGCCCAGTGCATGAATTCCAACTTCTGCCAATTCGCGACACAGAGTGACCACTTATCCATGCCTTCGATGAATAACTGCCCTCACCTTCAACCTGCTGTACCCTACTGGTAGCGACTTCCCACTAGAACACCAGATAACTGCCTGAATCTATCATTATTATCCTCATAGGCTTATATCAGCTTGGAAAAGAGCCAGTGTTGTTCAAACCAAAACATGGCTGCATCAGTCAGTGGAATCCACAACAGTTAGTTTAAGCCACGTAGTAAGGTATAGACTTCCTGGTTGGGGTCCTCGGAACGGTAAATACCAACAAAGGCTGGAGACAATTGATGATATGGCTCAAAATCGTTCTCAATGACTGGCGAAGATGCACCCACTCCTGGTGACTTATAATACCCAATAAAACTACATTATTCTTCGATATTACTATTCTTTTTGTCTCATGTCTCAGTTTATTATCTCTGTTTTTGAATTTATTTTTATTTTCTTCTCCTGCTTTTTGTGGTAAGTGAAATGTGGCGACTCGAACTGCCGCACATCTGTGCAAAGTTCTATGTTGACACCAGTCAATCAGTCATATCGTAAAGGTTAACCCCGCAACTTACTTACTGTCTTTCTCCTACGCTCAGCTGGTGATGCAAATATATTCTCTTCATCTATCTAAATAATTCATTGTCCCTAACAAAGTAAGGCTTACTGTTATTTCAATAGGGTATTGTTATCAAGCGTTGATAAAGTGAAATAAAAGAAGAGTTTGTGATTAAGACAAAAAAGGTCGTGAATCAAATTTTAAGGAGGTTTTCATTCTAATTATTATTTACACAGGTCAGGTAAATATTGATTTATTTGACCATTAGTATATATCATATATTTTAGAATTAGTAAAGATAATAAATTAATGTAAATCTAAGCTTACCTCTCTCTCTCTCGCACTCACACACTGCTGAATCTTTTAAATGTAAGTAGTTAATAACGTGAATCAATCAATTAATATAATGAGGATAACTTCATGCATTTAGAGAATTTAGAAGTTTTTTTTTCTAAAATATTTCTATCATAATGAAATAAAAAAATTCCAATAACTGATGCTAGATCGCCAGCCAGGTATACACAATATAGCCGTCCTAAACGAGGTCGATCACTGCCCTTACATAACTCTGTGGTGATATATCTAACTGCAACAATAGTTGGCGAGTGTCTGAATATCTAAAGACGAATCATCGCTTTCGAGGTTATGCAGATATATCTTTCTTAACAGTGCTAACAATCATGTTAATCTAGCTTTACGGCTTCCTATTGAATGTTTTCAAATGAGGAGCTGTCTGTCTTGCCAGTCACAGTGCAAATAGAACTGGTCAGCGTTAAGGACTAGACTAAATGATATCGGTTACTTCTTCAGTGACCATTTAATTTAGTCATTGATTTCAGTTGGTTGATGGTGACTACCAATGGAATCCATGATGCACATTTCGTCCTATTCGGGACGCATCACTGGGTGTACCTGCACTCTTCAGTCGTTGAGTGATGGTATTCCCACCGAGGCTCAAATGCAGTACCCATAGTTTCAGACGCCAAAGCCTTATCCACTGAACCTCTTGGGTCATGTGAACTGCCTCCTTTGCAACAGGTCCTGCTAATTACTTAATTTGATTCAGATTTTCCCGTTGATTAATTGGGCCGAAGTGCTCGGTCTTAGGTTGACTTCGGAATGCAGGTACATCAAGAGATGGGTCCCAGATAGGACGAAATGCGCATCCTGGATTCCGCCTCTAGTCACCATCAACCAATTGACTTCATGTTACATTACCAGACATCGTCGAACCATCTGCACTAAGAGCCGATATGTCAACATGAGACCGAGCACTTCTATCCAATCAATTGACAGGAAAATTCTAATAAAACTGGGAAGAAGTTTTTAGACCTTTTGATTGTAACTGATTGACTTGAAATAGTTTTCGATTCATAAATCTGGATTTGCAGTTTTCAGTAACATAACGTATCATCTTATAATAAAACTAACAAAATCCATTCAAGGTGTCATCACCTCATATATATATATATATATATATCAGCTCTGACTGTCTCTTTAAAGAAATTGATTATTAAATTTTTAGGCGTTATAGGGTATTGACTGGTTTTAAGGTGAATTATGTCACCAATTGAGATCAGTTGGAAAACCGTCGAAAACTAAGAGCCATTGAGCATTTTTTTTGCCGTAACCTGAAGTTTTTAGCAGGGTAAATCACTGGCGTAAAAATAAATTGGAATACAATGAACAATACTTTGAAACTGCTGAAGATTAGTGATCCAGTGCGATTGTCTTCCTGGTGCTTTTTGGTCCACGTTAGTTGCTTTAATTAAGTCGACCTTTAAAGAAATACATCGTGAAATGAAGACTACTGAACGTAACCAAAACGTCTTCCTAAAATGCTATGGTCACAAGAATCAAAAAAGCGTTTCGACTTTACTTAAAATCTGTCACTTGTGAGGACCACTGAACATGTTACCAAGTATATTGTCGCTTAATGGCAAAAAATCTAATTACTCGTTCATCACTCTGAATTTACTGAATGGTGAATCGCTAATGTGACTAATTTTCAATGTAAAATGAGCATTCTATATACTTCTCACAAGTGATAGTTTCCAATCGCAGTCATCTGAAAGAAACATCTTCTTAACAGATTGTTTTTGGTAATGATAACTTAGCTTTGGTTTATAGACCAAAATTATCTGTATAGCAGTTTCTGTTCTCTTATTTTTATTAAATAACGTTGTCGACTAGGCTAGTACTTAAGATTTCGCTCCCTACGGATACCTGTCAGTGCTGAGAAGTGTTAGGGATTAATCTTGTCGGGACTCATCTGTAAGCCAATGCATGTCACATGGTGCTGCAATCAGAGACTGTACCATTAAATTTCTCAAATCAAAACTAGTGCGGGAATTAAGAGAAGGGTGGAAGTTGGGGCATATCTTTTAGGAACATTTAGATGCTGATAAGAATCTGATGTATAAGTCTGCATTGTCGTCATGCAGTTTAGTGATATTACATTCTTTTATTTTATGCGTCGGTGGCCGAGAGGTGGAATGCTCACCAGCCACTCACGTGTCTCGGGGTTTCATCCCCGGCAGACGCATTCTATAACATCGCTTGGCTGGTTCTAAGCTCGGCAAAGAGGGAAGGTTAGGCGTGAGACTAGCAATCCCACCCCATAAAAATAAAACCGTTCCTATCAGAACTTCAAAGCTGTAGCCTGGAGGCCTTTGTTCCACTGGGAACTCAAAGCAAAAAAATCAAATAAAAGGTAATACATTTTTGTTTTACTGTGACACTGTTTTCTTATTCACTTAACTTATATACAGAAGTAGAGAATTATATTGCGGCGTGTGCCACTGATAAGATTTATCAGTAGTATTGTAACAACAGAAGACAAGGGCCGGCAACAGATCGTTTTATTACGGAAATCAGCATGTTTTTATATATATTTCATGTACATTATTGTAGCTTATTCAAGCAGGTAAACACAGTCTTCTGATTGGTTGTTTCTGGTTTCTCGGAAAGTTAAGCCATATATCTGCGAATCTTATTTGCCCACGTTATGTCTTCTGTGATTAGTTGTTGAATCAGTCTTGTTCATATTTTTTCACGGCCAATATTAGTGACCTAGACATTGACGTAAATTAATGTCTACCAATTGGCTAGCAGCCTGCTGTCACCATAGTATGTATTTAAAGGAGAAGTTGACTGGTATAAAAGACAAACATCAAATAGCAGGGAGTTGCGTTTAATTTAAGAGAAGGCAAATGATACAGAGTTATGGAGATATATGGTAGACCTGAAAGAAACACAAAGAAATACAATATGAAGGACAGAAGTACCACAACACAAAGATCTGTGCAAAATGTGCGTTCACGATAAGGCATACATAATTTGGCTATTCAGAGATACCAATTTCCAAATCAACACTACTTTACAAAGTCTTTCTTCGTCTACTGTGTTACAAAAATAAATTCTATCCAGTGATGATGAGTTTAGATACACACTGTTATAATGAACTCACACCAGGAAGTTTTTTAGGTGACACTGCAAATGTTTTAGAAAACGTCAGGTGTTATACGGCAGCATTTTTCAATGTCATATTTTCTAATTTAAAAAAGAGGACAAGTAGCATATAGTGAAATTTAGCCATACACTAGCCAAGCTTTTAACGTCACTATCAAGCGAATTCACTCCAATTAGCTTATTTTTTGATGTAAAAAGTATTTTGGAGGGTTTCTGAAGTATAAACTAAGATTCCAAGCAACATTAGTTATTGGATTTATTTGTTATGAAAACATCTAACCAATATTAGTTATATAACCTCAGTAGATTATCTTTTGCATAGAGTTCACCAATCTGGTGTGAGTTTGAGTTTAAGTTATTTGACAAGCAGATGTGTAGTTTCTTTTTGAAGGTTTTTTATGGTCAGAATTCATTAAGCTATTTTTGTTGATGGTGACTAGCCATGGAACTCAGGACAACGTGCATTTCGTCCTATTTAGGACTCTTCAACTGGATGTACTTGCATCTCCAGTTAATGATAATGTTCTCACTGAGGCTAGAACCTTGTATCCATCGTTTTAAAGAACAAAGCCTTAACCACTGGACCACGACAACCACCTCTGGTGTATTGAATAACCATCATTATTGTTGTTTAAGTTAACTTGCATTTACGGTTGATTGATAATGTTGAACGGATACATGTGAACAGTGATCGTCTCTTTGCTATTTCTCAATATTGCTTTAGATTTCTGAAAATATCAAAAGTATTTTCTGTTAATGTTTAACTGATAGAAACTTATATTACGTGTTTTGGTTGCAGCAGTTTTGATGAACAAATGGTCGTCAACAATGACAACAGTATACAAGATTTACAAGTTACCAAGTCTTCAGTGAAAAACGATCCGTCTTCTCCATCTTCTCCTCCAGAGCCGCCCCTTCATCAGCTGAAGCAAAAACAATCTGAATTCTCTAAAATGAAAACATCCAAATCTCCTGTTGTATACGCAAACCATAGAATAAACAAAACTGAATCAGGAAATAAGCTGGCTATGCGAATGTCCAGAACATCGAGTACTACTATTCAAGCGTTACCATCGAAACCTTTAGTGAAACGTGAAAAAATTGAATAATTCAGTCTGTGTACGTGTGTTTATGTGTGTATAATACGTCGTATGTGTGTACGTGTACGCGTGTGTGTGTCTGTGCATGTGCGTGTGCGTAGGAGTTTACACTTCTCTGTCTATCTGTCTTTCTGTATTTGTTTTATTTATGCGAAATAATAATAGTCGATTCTGTATTATGTAACTGTAAATTCTTTAATATTATTTTAAAAGAGAAAAACAACTCAAGTGAAATTTTAAAGTCCATGTGAACTTATTTGAAATAAAAGACAAAGTATTACTAGGCACTCAGTCTTCTTACATTTTAAATGGTCTGAGAATTCGTACGTAATTCGTAATAATAATAATAATAATAATAATAATTTGCTTTATTCCAAAACAGTACTTGTGATACAGAATGGAATTATCAGCATTTTACTACAGTATTGCATCCAGTTGGTACATTAATAATAAATAAAATTCTACGTAGATTAAGCGTAATCTCAGTTCGTTTTAGCAACAACAACATATTGGCATGTCGGTAGCAAGGCCAAAAATTGAACAGTGTCTGAAGTTGTTAGAAAAGTAGATGCTAGCATATTTACTGGCATAAGCAGAAAAAAGAAACAAAGCAGCACATAACAGAGAAAAAAAGTGAGAGAGAGAGAGAAAAGGAAAAGAAAGAAAGAAAACGTTGTACCTTTAAATGATATGAGTTGGGAAGACGAGATCCAGTTGTTCTACTGACTATTTAATAAATCATAAGTTTCACGCCTAATGCTTTCTTTATCGCACATAACACGAGCTAAGTAGGGTATGGTTGAGTTTTTGTACTTACTAGTGTGAGCATATAGTTTTCTATATAGGCTTCTGGTATGCCTGACTGATAAGATACAAGGGGAGATTTGTGAATGAAGAGGGTTGTGTGAGTTAGATAAAATGGATTTTGCCCATTTTTCACATTAGTCCAAGTGCCTGTCGACCAGAATATTAACAAGCTGGTTAAGTGGCGCGTAGCTTACCCTGCTGACAACCTTTAACATCCTACGTAATAAGGTATAGTCTTTCTTCAGTAGCCAGCCCTGGAAAAACTAAGGGGAACGATAGAGAATAATAGACAGGATGCGAGAGTTAACAAATCGTAGGAGTAAGGGTTGGGTTATTCCAGAATATCTTAACTTCTTGATGTAGAAGGTAAGACGGAACATTCGTACCTTGGTTTATCACCTAAACTTAGACGACCTTGAGTAGATTGGCTCACACTCAAATAATACTAATTTTGTTAGTTTTGCCTGTAAAATCATGTTAAATAATTGATATTTTTTGGGTTGTGTGATATGTATCCACATATATATAATTATGTGTGTGTGTATGTTGGTCTCTCTTTCTGTTTGCTCGCTTAGTCTGTGACCATTTCACTTGTATGAACTTGTCTCCTTTAACAATGTATATTCTCCTTATATTATATTATATATAGTATGAGTGTTTGTTGACAGTCCGTTGCTTGGTGACATATATCCATATATGGTTGTTGACATGTCTGCTATATTCGCTATGTATATTTGGATCGACACTCCATTATAATTAGCCATTCATGTTAAGACTGTCTATTGATTTGTTCCCACGCTTTGTCTGGAACATTCATATATATTTCGCATTCACAATCTTGTGACTTTACTTTACTTACTTACCACTTTGGTGTGAGACCATTTATTTTCATCTCCTTGTGTTTGGACAATAGAAGTATCATCGCAAACCTAGTGGTCTTCTGATTTCCGCCTTCTCGCGTCAGGACTATTAATTTCTCGACCAGTCCATAACAATAATTCAGCGACGAGTACATAACATTGTGTAGAAACAATCTTCGATATTTTCAAGTATTCATTTTGTAGGGATTTATGTTTGATTGGTTGGAAGATGTCATCATGAGCCGACATCAGTTAGAGGACCATTGGAAAACTACCACTGTGGTACTGGATGGCTGTTTCGTCCCAGTTTAGGACTCTTCACCAGTACGCTGTTATGGTAGAAGTTAGTATTCACAGACTGGCAATTGGATTGGATCCCAGAGGCTTAATGGTCTACCAGCACACTAGCCTTATCGTACGCCCAATGTAACTAGCTAAATACCATTAGTTAAACCGGTCAATACACGTGGAAGAGACAAAAATGGGCAGTTTCCCTAATTTCTTGAATTAAGTATTGGTTGGCTAGTGAATATACAGTATTACTTTGCTGCGCAGAGAGTTCTTTTGAAAGCTTTTATCAGACGCAGTGATAAGATCTCCCTACTGATATCATCCTTGAATTGTAATCTTATAAAGACTGATTTTTTGGGAACAGTCAGCACCTTCGACATTTTAATTTCTGATTACATGTATCTGTTAAAGAATTTAGTCGTTATCCGTTCGCACTGAGTAGATCACGAATATTACCGAGTTCTTCAATCACTGTCTCATTTAAACAAATAACTCTAGCCGGGTGAACCAGGAATCTAACCAGATTACGTTTGTATTGTATAGGTACAAGGCTCAGGAATTAAGTATATTGTCCATTGAAAGTAGGTTTTCTATGCGAACGTCTACATATTGCTTCGTCTGTTCGTTTAGTCATCAGGATGTCAAAAAACGGCATAGTCATTGTCTTCCTCTTCTTTAATGAGGCTTATTCCAGGATGTGCTTTACTGAATTTCTCCAATATGTCCCATAGTCCCACTTTCTTTCTTCACAACTATAAATGTATCTTCGACCTTGTAGGCAATAGAAATCAAGATTATATATTACACCTTTAAGAGGAAAATTCTCTAGTTTCATCAGGAAAAAATCTGCTAGGAATGGACCAAGTGGTGATCTCACGACAACACCATCTGGCTGTCTATACATTTCTTTATTGAACAGAAAGCTTACGTTCATTGAACACCGAAAGTTATTTTTACATATCTTGTTACTTGAAAATCTCTCTGTATTGAGGAAATATAGGTTACGGGCATTTTCACAATGAAGGTCACCATTCCCTTCGACGTATAATCAGTTCCTAAAGTAGTCTTCCATTTCAACTTGAAAAAGTTTCTTGAGTGCTCATTTCTTTCAATTACTTAGTTCCAGATTGATTGATACAGAGAAGGTAATCATTTATCATATATACTATCTCCATCTGCCAATAATCATAGTCCGTAAAATTACGCGTGTTTCTTGTCGAATTTCCGAACATCACCCTGTGTGGTTAAGTAAAGGACAAACAAAATCTATTTGCTGCGCTATTCTATCTCATCTTAAGGATACAGAACACATGACTGACGTTAACCATGCTTTCGGGGTCATTAACCGCATACCAATAAATCTCAATTTCACCTTAAGTGTTATTTATTATTATCATTATTATTATTGCTCCCTTGGGTTCCTAGTGGAATATAGGGCTTCAGCTGCACGTCTCCATTTGCTTCTGTCTTCTGCTGTACTTTTCGCCTGCATCCATGTTAATCCATACTCTTTCAACTCCTCTTCACACGATCTCCTCCATGTCACCCTTGGACGTCCCACACGCCGCTTCCCTTTCGGGTTCCACTCGAGGGCTTGACGCGCGATGTCACCCAGCGGTCTCCTCAGCGAGTGTCCGATCCATCTCCACTTTCTCCTGCATATTTGTTGGGCGATTGGTTCTTGCTTTGTTTGTTCCCATAATTCCTTGTTGGTGATTCTTTCCGGCCATCTGAGCGAAGACAGTTGTTGATAAAGGTCTGCAACAGGCTGTTGGAAATATTCTTTGTGACCCGCCCGGCAAGTTTCTGATCCGTATAGAAGAACTGACTGACTTGACGTTTGTATTGAAAATCCGACCGAATTTTGTTGTTGATGCTGCTGAGTGACGAAGATTTCCAGATTGATTTCAGGTTGATGATGAATGTGTTTCTCGCCTTCCCGATTCTCGCTCGATTTGACATCCTCGTCCGTTCCGACTCCTGTAGTTGAGACAATGCTCCCTAGATCAGTGAGTGAATGAAGTAACCTCTTTCAAATCCCTCCCGTTGATGGTGATTGACGTTGGATGTTGCTGCTGTTGTTGTTGGTTGTTGGTTATTTTCATAACCTCCGTCTTGTCTATGTTTACCTGGAGTCCTGTCTTTGCCGGCTGCTTCTTCGACCAGTTTGTCGGTTTTCGCTTGTAAGTCTTCGATTTTGTGTGACATCAAACATAAATCATCCACGCGCGAAATCCAGGTCTTCTAGGTTCTTCACGTCGGTCCAGGATATCCCTGTCTTCTCGTTTCCAACTCACAGTCTGACGCATAATCCAGTCAACCACAATTAGGAATATCATTGGTGATAATAAGCCACCCTTGTCTGACTCCTGTGTTTACTCCAAACGCCTCGCTGAGTTTTCCGTTGTGGATCACTTGACATGTGGTGTTGTCGTACAGCTGTTGAATAAGGTTGATGAATATTTGGGGTACGCCATAGTACTCGAGTAATTTCCAAATTACTTCACGGTCAACGCTGTCGAAGGCCTTCTCAAAGTCTATAAAGTTGAGGTAGAGGTTTGATTGCCATTCCATGCTTTGTTCGATGATGATGCGTAGAGTTGCAATTTGGTCAGTACATGATTTGCCTTTCCTGAATCCAGCTTGTTCTGGTCGGAGTTCTGTCTCCAGTGCGTCCTTTAATCTCTCCAGGATGATGCGACTCAGGATTTTACTTGGCGTCGATAGGAGCATGATTCCTCGCCAGTTCTTGCAGAGTCCTAAGTCGCCCTTCTTTGGTAGTTTCACGAGGTAACCTTTCCTCCAGTCAGTAGGCACCTTTCCCTCCTTCCAGACCTTTTGCAATAATGGAGTCAGCATGTCTGCTGTCGTCTCTGGGTGTGCTTTCAGTGCTTCAGGGGGTATTCCATCTGGTCCGGCTGTTTTTCCAGCTTTCAGAAGTTTGATTGCATTCAAGACTTCAGCTCTCGTTGGAGGATTGGTGTCAACTTGCAGTTGTGTGCGCGCTGTTGTTGGTATTTCTGGACGGGTTGCAGGTGATGGTCGGTTCAA